ACTCGCGGGCGCCCGGCTGCGCGACCACCGCCCCTGCGGCGCGTCCGACCCTAGGCAGTTGGTCCCCAGCGCATTCCCAGCGCGTCTGCCGCCGCAGCCCCCAGCCCCCAGCCCGGTCCGGCTCGGGCGCCACGGCTGGAGTGTGCTCTTCCCTCTTTCCCAGGTGGCTCTGGACGCGCCAGGCTGGGGCCGCCTCTGAGCGCCCCGCGGGGGCCATGGATGGCGAGATGGGAGAGGAACCGGGGGGCGCGTTGCCCCCGCCAGGTGCACCTTCCGGCCCCGGCCAGGCGGGCGCTCCGGCCCTCGCGGGGTGGCGGGAGCCCAAGAAGCACGCAGTGACCGAGGACTACCAGTTGTCCAAGCAGGTGCTGGGCCTGGGCGTGAACGGCAAGGTGCTGGAGTGCTTCCACCGGCGCACGGGGCAGAAGTGCGCCCTGAAGGTCAGTGATCCTCCCCGCGCCCGCCCGGTGACCCGGAGGGGCCAGCAGCAGAGGCTGCGGCTCCCGCCAGGCTTCGTATGCTCAGCACCAGGTGTCAGCCTCACAGGCCCCTGTGGGGCCAGGCTCCTGGTCCGCCCTGCTTCAGAGATGGGGAACTGAGGCTTAGCTCAGCCAAGCCCCTGGTGTCCCAGGGAGCAGAGGGTGGAGTCTGTGTGGGTAGAGCCTGCTGTACCCGGAAGTGGAGGAGTGACCCCTGGCCCTGGGGTTCTGGCTGGGCTTGTGGTTGGAATGGGTCTGAGTTTCCCGCTGAAGCGGAGAAACCACCAAAGCTTGGAGGAGGGGTGGAGGGGGAGCTACTTCCTCCTGCCTGCCTGCCTGCCTGCCTGGGCTGGAGCCATGGGAGCCTCCCAGGCTGCATGGTGGGCAAGGCCGATGCCCATCACACCCGCGGGCAGGAGGCTGGTGGACGGCTGCAGCTGAGTCACAGGCCCCATTCTGAAAAAGGCAAGCCCTGCTCCATGCCTGACCCAGCCTGGTTTCTGGGAAGTGGGCAGGCCAGCCAGCTAGCCATGTGACACCATAGGCTGCCAGGGGGTCTGGTTAAAACCTCACTGATCCAGGTGGAATCGGGGGAGTCCTGGGAGTGGCTGATCTAGCGACCCTGTTCTGGCTTAAGTCACTTAGTTCTAGGCCCGGGACCCTGCCCCAGACCTGGAATCCCTTGAATCTGAGAACTTCAGTCAATTGCAGCTGGTGCCAGCGGCCACCTGGATGGGTAGAGCATGGCACGGAGCGTGGCTCCTGGAGGTTAGAACACAGCAGAGGCCCTTCCCGTTTTACAGATGGTGCCATTCTGAGCCTGAGCTCACAGTCTGCTCTAACCTCTGGCCTGCATTTGCCAGCTCCGTGACCTTGGACCAGGTTCTGGAGTCTGGGAAGCAGGTTTCTGCCTCTGTGCGGGGGAAAGACAGGGGCTGGTGTGAGCTGGGGAGGAGACGATGTGCAGAGAGCCTGAGGCAGGCCTGGGGAGGCGACAGGACTTGTTTAGGGCACAGGGTCTGCAAGGTCTGAGCAGCAGCCTGGGCTCAGCTCCCTGTGTCTCTCCCGGGGGCTCTAGGTCCCGGGGGCTCTAGGGCTGATAACGGGGGCCGTATCCCTGGGTGGTCTTGGGGGTCAGGAGCCTGGGTCCAGAGGAGGCTCAGGGGTGGGCTGCTGAGTCCGGGTCTCAGACACAGCTCCTCTGCCTGCTGACCCAGCAGTGGGGTGGGGGTGGGCCCCTCAGCAGGCTC